CGAGAATTCTTCTCTTCCCGGGTCACCTGGCAGAAACATGCTTTCGTAGCCGGGAGGAGTCTGAGAACCTGCAGAGTAAAAGCATGACCCTCAGTGTGTTACTGGTCTTGGATGGAGGTATACAGTGGAGTTTGAAGAAATTACACAATGCTGCACTGGTGCCTAGCCCTACTCATAGAGCTATGTGGATGGGACATAGTAAAATCTCGCCCGCCTTGAGAACTGTTCCCGTTCTTATACTTTTTTCTTAGGTAAAAGTGCTAGCCAACTCAATCTCTACCAACCTGCCACTACATCAGACATGTCTCCAACTGCCCCTTGTCAGCCCCTTTGTGGCCCTTACTTCTTCATAATTCATTTTAAAACTAAGTCCGACACGCCCGCTCACTTCATATCTTGGGATCTGAAGTTTCACTTTTACCACAGAAGTGAAAGAATCCATTATCTGACTCTGTTATGACCAACATGACATCTGGCTGGCAGCAACAACTCCAGAGTGAAAGTCGTGCAACTGTGATGGCTAAGGGTGTGTCCATTTAGCGCAGCCTTGATTCTCAGGGGGGTCAGCCATTCTATAATGGTACAGTTGGTAGTTATAGAACCACAATTTGGCAGTTAAGGGAAATGCTCCAGTCATCCTTCCTTTTGTACTCTGAAGTAATCTGTTGTGGTCATCTTCCCTTTGTTGCATAAAGCTGATTTTTCCCATAATGACCTGGTCTTTGGAACCTGACCATGTCAAAAGAGTGAGGAAGAGGTGTAATGAGTCGTTCACCGTTGTCACTGTGTGTCAAACTCTGTGGAGACTTAGCAAAGCCATCACGTGCCAGACAGTGTGTGGCACAAAGATGGCCGCATTATGCGGCAGTGAGCCTCCCTGGACTTTTTGGAGTTTGTAGCAATGTCCAGTTGGGAGCTCCTGAACAGACGGATGAATGGTCACTTTAACTGCTGCTACTGTTGTAGTGTCTGCCGAGTCACTTGTCACTTTTAGCTATTGGGGTTGACAGTAGAATTGACCCACGGGATTGTCTAGGTTGTAATGGAAACGGATCATTCTTTCTTAGTATTTTTTCCACTTAGTATTGTGGAGCACGTTCAGACCGCCCACCTTTCCGTCCGTGGCGAATGCTTTTAACTGCTGTGCCACCAGGGCTTCAACACTGCTGCTGGCTTGGAAGTGGCCGGAATGTAGAACAGTGCTGTTTCGACGTGAATATGGACTCCAATTCCCTGACAAAAATTCCAAGTTCAGCATCTGAGTCAGTAGACCTGGTCTTGAGCCCGAGGTTCTTTGAACTCTCGGGTCTAAGGTGTCCCAAGTTACCTGCTTTTCTTAACTCCTGAGACTGAAAGGAAGCAAGACAGTAACTAGTTTTGCAAAGGTTCGTTTCAAAGGAAGGCTTCTCCATGTGTCCCAGTGTGAGTCTGCGCAAAGGACTGAGGCAGTTCTTAGATCCTCTTCCTCGCACAAGCAGAATGAGAGGCTATGGAATTACTACAGCTTCTAAAGCAGCCAACCCAGGGCATTCATGAGCATTACTCCAGATCTGTTCTCGTTTTCCAATAATACGAATTTAAAATCTAGACCCTCTAACAACATTTTCAGAAAGTACCCCAGTTGAAGCCCATTAACTTGTTTGCCATTGAATCAACTCCAACACATGGCACCCCATGAGTGACACAGGGGAGCCGCGCACCATCAGTTTCCTGGGCTATCTTTCTGGACCCAGACTGCCAGGCATTTCTTCCACAGTGCTGCTGGTTGGGTTAGAACCACTAGCCTGGTAGTTAGTAGTCAAATGAAAACCAAACCATTAGCATCACTCAGGGATCTTCCTTGTGAAACAAACACATGGAAAAGATAAAATAGACCAATTGTGCAACACTCACTCCAGAGGGCAGGGCCTGCTTGGATGGTATCCCCTCCCCCCACTCTTCTATGCAGCTGTAGAGGCCGTTTCCTTTATTGATTTGTTCATATATGAAAATGATTTGTAAATTAAAGCCATCCATATTCCCACCACCCAGAGACCTCCACTTTTGGCCTTAGCTGTTCATGAAGCGTCATCACATATGATGTGTATTATAAATGACGTCTGCTTCCCAAAGAAGTCTGTCCTTTCTTTCAAGAAAACTTTTGAAAGACTGGAGTTAGTTGAGGCAATAGAGGAAAAACACAGCTAGTACTTTGGGGATATCCCTATACAAGTGTAGCAGTTAAATTTGTTAATATAGTGAAAGTTTACACAGCAAATTAGGTATCCATTTAATAGTTTTCTTGCAAATTGTTCACCGGCATTAGTTATATTGTTCACAATGTGTCTACTATGGGCTCTTTAATTACATTCTGGTTGTTCTGCTTCCAGTAGTCTAGTTTCCCTGCCCCACCTTCTCATCTTTGCTTTAGAATAATTACTGACCTTTTAAAGACTCTGAGTTCCATTCTATGTTTTCCCCCCGTTCGGTCTGAGCCCATCTATGGTTGCCCTACTCAGAACAATCAGGAGTGATAGTAGGACACCACCTTGTTTCTTCTACCAGTGCTCACAAATCAATGCCCCGACCATTGGCCTCACACAGGCAGCATTTTCTGGTTGCTGTAGTTTAACTGGATTTACTTTCATCCTTGTGCTTCATCAGATCTCCTCCTATGAGGCTTAGGCCAGTGGTTCTCAACCTCCTAATGCCGCGACCCTTGAATGAAATATATTTTGACACACTCCTTTCTTTTCTTAAATAAATCAGAAAGAGGATAAATACATCAGTCATAAGCAGAAATAAGGTAAAGATAGCCATTAAAAGCTTATCATTTCCAGTCACCAGTAAAGTTAGCATAATACCTTACTGAAGACCCCCGGCTTTCCTTCAAATCATTTCTGACACCGGCCACCCCACAGTGTCAGAGAACAAGAGTGGGTGACTTTCGGGGACTTGGATTGATAGGCTTTTCTTCCCATGGGTGGACTCAAACCTCCAACGTTTTGGTGAGCAGAAGAATGCATTGACTCTTTGCCACACCCAGTGATTCCATTCCCTGATTGACCGGTAGCCAGTGATCATGGACTGGAAGGCAGAAGAACTTCCTGTTACTGAAAACTGCTTTTTAAGTTATAAAAACCACCATGATTGTCTCACAAATAAACTAAGACTTTGTTGGGAAAGAAGTCAAGTAGACTGGGGCATTCAATCCTAACAAGGCACGGGGAATACCCTTGTTCTCCCTGGCATCGCTAATAAACATTTCCAGGCCTTTATACCATCCTACCTGCACTTCTATAAAGACCACTCTCTTGGTGGACGCAAGGCAAATACTTTCATTGCTTTCTGAATGAAAATATGCTCAGTCCCTTGGGAATGCCTTGAGGCTCTTTGCCATATACTGACCATGTCTACATGTAAATAAAAAGTTGGACCGTTTTAAGGGAGTTTTCTGAATTGTGATACTTGCAAAACACAGTACCTTCAACATACAGTGGGGCAATGATTGAAGGAGGAGGAGCTAGAGAATGGCAATGGGGTTTGGAGTCATTGCCGAAACAGCCCGAGGCCAGGCCCCAAATTCTCATCACTGTTCATCTTGTCACAGGGACAAAAGAAGCTCTAGAAAAAATGGGAGTCTACAGGGCTTAATTTCTCTGCTTATCTCAGAAACTGATAATAATTTACCTCTTGTGGTGGTTTTGACCTCTAATTATCAGCTTCTTTGCTATGGTATAAGGACTGCTTGGGCCATCCTGAGGGTGCTGATTTGACTGGTGATGAAAACCTCGTTTACATTCCTTCTCACCACATGCGTCAAGGTCACTGAGAGAAAAGTGCCCCTGGACGTTTTTCCCCTAAAGAGTAGATAATGAGCATGCCTGCTGATTCCAGCAGAACCCACCTGGAATGCTAGCATCGTACTTCAAAAAACCAGTAAGAACATTAAAAATCATGTTCGGAACTAGCCTGGTTTCCTCTATAACTGTTAGCACTTGTAGAGCCAACTTTTTTTTAACGTGCATTGCAAATGAGATGTTTCTGTTTGTTCTTATTGTTTCTTCACAGCAGAAAATAAAACTCTGCGGTGGTGCTGTGGGTTAGGTAATGAGCTGCAAGGTCAGCAGTTCAAACCCACCAGCCTCTCCACAGGAGAGAGATGGGCTGTGTGTGCCTGTAAAACTTTATAGGCTCAGAAACCCTTATGGGTTAGAATCAGCTTGATAGCAGTGGGTTTTATCTTCCATATGTATGGTTCTTTGTTTTCATGAAGAATGAAAACTTTGAACCAACAGTATACACGAGCATATATATATCATAACCTTCAAAACAAACCTGACAAAAATGTGAAATTGAAATAAAACTGTGTCCCCAAGCTTTTTAGGCTACACGTGTTCATTTTGATAAGTACTTTCCACCCTGTAATATTGTGTATGTCTAAACAAACGAAACCCTTGTCGGGTGCTATTCCTAACCATTTTTATAGCTATGGAAAAAGTCTTTTCCTACATTATCCGCATACATTTTTTAAATGGCAATTGCTGGCAATTCTTTGCAAACGTAAAATGTGATGTAATTAGACATGTTTCCATTCATGGTAATTAAGCATTTCTTAGACTGTTTTCTACTATTCCCTTTCCTTCAAGACTGCTTCGTTTGTTTCTTTGCGGGCGTGCATTTTCTGCAGTGATTGTCAGTGGCCCATCCAACACATGACGACCCCCCCACCCACTTGCACAGGGCAGCATTGCTCTGCAGAGTTCTCATGGCTGTGACCTTCAGGAGGCCAAGTGCAAGTCCGACTCCCTACATTGCCTCTGGGTGGCTTCCAACCAGTAGTGGAGTGCTTAACCGGGCGCGCTTCCCAGGGACGCCTTTTCCTTTCTCAGAAAGCCGCCCGCCTTCCTGAGTGGATTGTCTTTGCAAAGCCAGAGACATGACTTTGTCATATGGAACAACAAGCAGACAAACGCGATTTCTGTCCGATGCTGATTTTCAACCGTTGCCTTTCCATGCAGATCCTTGATGCCTGAGGAATGCAGAGCCACGGTTCACCCAGCGCAGGCCCTGATGTCTGAGTGCCCCCGGCTCTGTCGGAACGGCTACTGCACCCCCACGGGCAAGTGCTGCTGCAGCCCAGGCTGGGAGGGCGACTTCTGCAGAATCGGTTAGTGTTTCTGGCATCACCTGGAAGGCCTAGGGATGGGCCAGCCCTTGCACCCACGAACTCAGCACCAGTTACTTCTTCTAGAATTATCCGGCATTCAGTAATTCTTGGCCATTTACAGTCGTATGAATGAATGCTCGGTCTGTTTCTGACTTGGTAGATGTCACCGTGCCTGTTCATTAAATGTAAGTTGTTCATGTTTGTAAGCTAATCAGAGGCATAATCCATCTTTAAACGAGTGCTTTCAAGCAGTGACAAGCGAAAGCAGCATGACCAGAGCGTCTCACCGTGCTTTCTGACCTGGGCTCCGAGCTCCACACCAGCCGGTGACTCAGTGCTGGCGCAGGCCCGCTCCAAGGGCCTACGTTTCCCAGACACCCCATAAATGCCATCCCTGGCTTTACTGCTGGCTGCCACAGCACACTAAAAACAGGTTTTTTCAGTGGGTGTTATTAAATTAAACAGGAAAACGCAACTATCGAGAGGCATATAATAAGATTTTTTAATTCTTTTTGCCACTCCCTGGAGAACCATCAACGAGGTGTACAGCTGCTCAGAGAGCCACGGAGATTTAGTCTTGGGTCTCGATATCCTGAGACTTGCCATTTCCTCAATTTACATGCAGTCATGTTTACGTTCCACATGGTATGAAGTAAGAAAAGTTAGTTGCAAACCTAGAGTTTAAGACACTCATGTTAACACTATATTTCAACAACCATCCGATATGCATGTCACTGCTGTTCAAATATTAAAGTACCTCTTGTAAAAAAAAGTCCTAAATTATACGTAGTATTTCAATTGTATTCTCAAATGTATTGGGGTCAAAGAGCATAGCCAGAAATAATCTGCTTTATTTCTTATCTAGCCAAAAGAATGACCAAAATTTAAAGACTCACATATGTATGCATTTTTAAGATGAGTCTGCTTCATCAATAACAACGTTGCATGATTGATTAATGTTATGTTTACATATCTAGGAAATAGCTATCATAATTAAAACTCAAAATAAAGTGATTAATTTTTTAAAAACAAATGCTTAAGTTATATTGACATTGTCATTTATTGCCGTGTTATTTGTCTCTCTTTTAACTGCCCAAAAAATTGAGAATCAAATTCATTGCTCAAATGTAGTATTTTCGGTTCCTGATAGCATATCTTCCGCTTTGTTTTCTCCCCCTCATGCTGTCTTTAAAGCCTCCCCATATCTACCCCCTCCTGCTGCTTTTCTCCGGTGCCCACTTAGTTTGATCCCTCACTTTGCATCTTGCCTAGCTCCTAAGTCACACAAGTCACCAGTGAAGTATTTATTGAGTCCTTTCTAGGGACAGAAATTGTATTTGAAACAGAGGGTGAGCAAATTCTTTTCAATGTAAATCTGAGTTAACATGTAGCTTTATTTCAGTATTTTAAACTTGCCACTAATCAAACGTCAAGTTTGACTTGACAAAATCAGAACCCTTTTTAAAAAGGACTCTACTAATGATGCTTTTAATTAAGCAAGAACTTCATGTATAGTGCCATATAGTGCCCTCATCTCACTTAACTTTAGAAGAGAAGTGAGTGTCTTTCCGTCTTATTCTGTCTTTCCTATGTACTCAGACACAAATCCCTCTGCATTTCCATTGCAAGCATCTGAAAAGGTAAAAATGACCCTGTCCCTTGAAAGTATGAGAAATGTATTTAGGAAAGTCATCTACAGCAGCTGTGATTCTCAGATGGATCCTGTCGGCAAAAGACAATTTACATGCTCAATGGTATCCTTTCCATCTTATTTCAGGCAGTAAAGCTGTATATTTCCTAACCTTTCATAGCCTAGCTAGTGCTGGTGTAATGCAAATACCTCAAGAATAAAACTCCCAATTCTGGAGGCTGAAAGCCCAAATCAAGGTCACCTGCACCGAGATTCCTTCCTTGTTGGGAGCCCGAGGAAGACATTCTTTGGTTCCTTGACTATCCTCACATGGCATCTGTCTCCTTCAGGATGCTGTGCCTAGTCTGCTCTTTTAATAGCCCAAAAGTGAGTCGGTTCAGGACACACCCTACACTAGTTATGACTCCATTACGAAGGAAAACCACATTCCCAAAGAGGATGGCTCCCCAAGGTGCGGGGATTAGGATTCCAACACACACTGGTGGGCAAGAGGGGGTACACAATTAAATCTGTATATCAGAGCGGGGAAAAATCCTTTTATAAAGCGATTCTGTGCTAAGTAGTCCAGGCAAGGATGGCTCAGAATATTCTTTGCTGGAAAATTGCACTGACCCCAGAATGGGCATCCAAGTATTAATCAGAGTAAAACCTACAGCTGTAGGCCTGGGAGGCCCAGGGAAGCAGGAATCTAAGAACTCCATACGGCTGTTCGTCTAAGGGTTAGATTCCAACCCAATCCTAAAACTCACCATTCTGTTAAAACCGACCATTGCATTTTGTTGGGCTGGTTATGCCCAAGATCCTGGGTCTCCAGCATCCCAGAGGATGATGGCAAGTATGACACATGCCCCAAGTGCCATTTGAAGGGGACACCACTGAGTGACCCTCACAGTTCCCAAAGACCTCTGATGGCCTAGTGGATTATGCATTGGTCTGCTAACCCCAAGGTCAGCAGTTCAAATCCACTAGCCACCCCACTGGTGGCAGAGGAGGCTTTCTACTCCTGTAGAGATTTACAGCCTCAGAAACCAACAAAGGCAGCTCTACTCTGACCTCTAGGGTCACTCTGAGTCAGAGTGGGCTCAGCGCCAGTGAGTTTGGCTTGAGAGATTTGGTTGCCATTTCCACCAACAGCTGAGAGCCATCATTCCCCACAATTTAAAACTAATTGCCATAGATTTGCCTCTGCCTCAGCCAGCTCCTCCCACGTTGAGGACCTCCCCTGTGTAATGAGAACACGAACACGGAGTTGCTTGGAAAGCCCTGTTGGAAGATCCCTCTGTGGAGCAGATCTGAAAGAACTGCAATCATTAACGTTAAAGAAGAGAGTCAATTGTGCAAGAGCTTCAACTCGTTTCCCCTGATCTCTGCTTCTGAAAGCCTTCTCCCCTACTTGCACGTATCACAGTTAAAGACCACTGTCTTCTTCCCCTTCCTCCCTCTTCTGTAGGCATCACACTGTTGGTCTCCGACTAAAGGCTGTTTCTGACCCACAGAATGAAAGTGTAATTGTATTACTCTTTTTCTCTCCCAGCAAAATGTGAGCCCGCCTGTCGTCACGGAGGTGTCTGTCTTAGGCCGAACAAGTGCCTCTGTAAAAAAGGATATCTTGGTCCTCAGTGTGAACAAGTGGACAGAAACATCCGCAGAGTGACCAGGGCAGGTATTCTTGATCAGATCATTGACATGACATCTTATTTGCTGGATCTAACAAGTTACATTGTATAGTTTCTGGGACGGTTTGAATAGCCCCTTCTAATGGGCATTTATTTTTTTTCCTGTCATTAAAAAGACTGTTATCCCTGATACACACTCCTGTGATTTCATTTTTTTTTTTTTAGTAATTTAAAAATAATTTCCAGAAATGTGCAGATCGTGTGTGTGTATGTTGGCATACTTGTTCACCTAAACACGTATACACACGCTTACAACCCCTATAAGTGTGGTTGCATAACAGATGGATTTTTTAAAATATATAGATTTCCTTGTGTGGCGTCATTTACACAGAAATTCCATTGTATATCGATAACAGAGTTCTGATGTCACCAGAAGGAACTATTTGACTGCCCAGGAATTTTCTGTCTGTAATAACTGAAGTCAACTTTAATGGAGTTTTGAAACATTACTGTGCTATCTGATGGCTCTAATAAAAGTGTCTATATTTTTATATTAAGGACTATAATAGGAGATAATGTTTCAGAACTCCCTGATGGATTGCCAAATGAACAACTTGATGTAAAATTGTAATCTTCATTTTTATCAATGTATCCAATTACAAAATGTTAGGCACTTACCTTTTTCTTGGCAGAGAGATCTGGTTATGCCAGCTTAATTGCAAGATTGTTTTTGAGTGTTTTATAATTAAATCATAATGGCATACTTTAAAATAATTTTTCCTAAAGGTCTGCATTTATTGTATGTTTTATTTAACATTAGGCACTGGGTTTGTATTACCTATTTATATTTTTTATTTTATTTTTATAATATAGACATCACCTAGATGAGACACCTTTACCCTGCCCTGTAAAACACTAAAGTTACATTTTTCACCAACTTAATTGGAAAGAAGGGGAGTGAGAAAGGAAACAGTCTTTAAGGTGCTGTGGATCTAAGCTAGCCCTGTGTCCTTGTGCCAACATGTAATCATTCACGACGGATGAAAACGCAAGAAAACCACCAAACCTATAGAATGCCAGCATTAAACATTTGCAAAGTGCTTTTCACCCAATAGCAAGATTGCCAGAGTCTGTGTGGTTACATGGCTGCAGTTTCACACTGAATCCAACGGCACTGGAGAAGAGCGCGTTCGCATTAGCAAACCTTGGTTATGTAAGCTGTCACTTGTACCACCTCTCTGGATTCCTGCCACATCTGACTCCTTACGTGTATGTTCCCTCAGAACACAGTGAGAACCCTTTCTTTGGTTAATGTGTCAATAAATTTTCTGTAAATGCTCTGTTCTGATGTTTAAAGCAATGGCATGTTCTCATTAAAACTGCAAAAAGTTTGATAGACTGGCATTTGAGGCCAGCTCCCCAGGTTTACATTGTAACAAAATGATAAAGGTTCTTTGCATTGCTGAGAGAAAAACAGAAACACAAAAGCGCACATCTTCTCATGACAGACGCACACCCACTGGAGTTGTCCTGCTAGCCAGCCACATCTTACCTCCAGGACCTAAAGACAGCATCACGTACATCATGCCACCCACACTCAGTTCCCCAAACTGCTGCTTACCTTTAGGACCGTGAGCCTCCATTATAAAGCATCTTATAGCTAGTATCTCTCTGTTGTCTTCAAGTGTGATGTTTGTAATTAAAGCACGGCAAGCATTGACATAGGAGGGGGAAAAAACAAACCCACAACGTCAAAAGATTGGTTAAGTACACTGCACTTGTCTTCCATATATGATTACTTAAGTTTCTAGTGACCTCATGCCAATTGGAAAGCGGTTGAGAAATCATGGTTCAGTCTTAGTGGACAATGGCCTGCATGAAAAAGTGCATGCATAATTTTGCACAATTTAGATTCAATTGACAGTCCATTCAAGAAGTCTCCGGATTAAATGAGCATGGAGACCAAATTGTCCTCTCGCCCCAGAAAAGGGGTGGTCCCTTCTAGTCCCACTAACACTTCATTGGCCCAACAGTGTGACCAATCTTGCAATGAACCCTGCAGTCAGTCGCCTGCATCTGTGGGTTCACAGCAATCCTGTCTCCCCTGCTTTCTCTTCATAGCCCCCTTACTGAATTCCATCACAGAAAAGTTTCACAATTAAAAAAATGTCCTGACAACCGTTTTTGTGAATGGACCTTACCGTCTAATCATCCCGCATTCAGGGTGGGTGACATGAGACGAAATGTGAACTTCAGCTGTCCTCATCTGTCCGATAGTGCAGTTGTATTACACAGTCTCCGGGTCATCATTCCACCAAAAACAATGAGGAACCTGCTATCTGCTCAGCACCATCTGAAAGAAACAAAATTCCAGTGTTTTCTCTTCCATCTTTCACCTTCCCATCCCTTCCCCCAATGAAAAGGCTTTTTCACCACCATTAAGTTCTGCTATTGACAGATAAGCTATGTGAGAACGGATGGGGCCTCAGTTTCCTCATCCAACTCTTCCCTAAGTGTGGACTTTCAAGTGACTTAGAGGAACAGGTCAGAGCACGTGCCCTATTGGGAGCTTTCAGAATAAAGTGCTAAGTTCTTCCCAAAAAGAGGGCAAGGGCCATGGATATTACATCTAAACCAAGAGAGGAACACCGTGGGTGTCACTTGTTTCCGTTCTGAGAGCAGTAGATAGCACAGGCTAAGTAAGGTCTCCGTTAGACAGGGAGGTGGGGGGAGGAGGGGCGACTAAAAAGATGAGGGAGAGAAAAGTCACTGTTCCATCACATTGAAGTCAACATCGACTCGGTTCACAAGGCACACGGTCTCGACATGGGAGAGATGTGACTGTGGAATGTGCAAGAGATGATAAAGCCATCGCGAACCGTGCATCGTTGTTCACGCTTAGAGCCTAAGCTTTGGGTATCCATCAGTGTAGCATGAAGTCATGTTAAGGTTGTGAAGCAATGTTGAAAATTACCTCTTACTACGCATCTGTCAAACTCTTGTCCTGTACGAATAGAATGTGGTTTTCTTGCTGGTAATTTAAAGTAATAAGGAGAAAACAGAAGTGGCTGACTATGAATAGAAGGGAATCTTTTAAGAAACTCAAGTGATGGCAAAAAAAGTGATTCCCCCTGTCCCTTCTCATTTGCAAATTTTGTTTCAGTGTGGTTATTGTGAAAGATATCTTCTTTCTATCACAAAGAATGCTCCAAAAGTGCGCTCCATTAAGCAGACATCGACATATAGGAGAGAGGCACACAGCTTAGGAGAAACGATCCTCTTTTCTCATTTACAGATTTCAGAAGGCACTTCCCAGTGTCTTTCTGTCAAAACAATTGTACAATGGAGTAGTGGTTTTAAAATCCATTATTTTATACCGTTTTTAATCACTGAATTTATAAGCTATCCAACACACTTCCAAATCAAAAGCCAAAATCACTGCCACTGAATCGATGCCGACTCATAGCGACCCATTAGGACAGGATAGAGCCGCCCCTGAACATTTTCAAGACTCCTTACAGGAGTAGCCAGCCTCATCCATCTCCTGCAGAGCAGCTGGAGGATTCAAACCGCTGACCTGGCAGTTTGCAGCCCAACAAGTAACCCACTACACCAGCAGGTGCACAGTACAAATACTAGCTACAGCCTTTAGGGCCTTTCAAAGTATATATCAATTTAAACATTTCTCTGTATAACATTCGGTTAAATCTCTTAGTTTTAAATGATGAAAGAGAAAAAAACTATATTTACAAGGAAGAATAAAGTATACTGTAGACATAGAATAAAGCTGTAGTTGGCTCATGACTAAATTAAAAGTTTCTGAAAATCCCTATGGAATATTACCTATAATGATGTCTATCTCTTCTCCTCCCCATCCCATGTATCTTTTTTTTTTTCTTGTAACCCCTCCCCTCACTTCCATTTCTATTACCTTTGGCTAAATAGAGAAGCCCTAGGAACGCCCATAACAAAGGTGCTCTGGAGTAGTAGGTGGTTGTTGCATTTGTTAATGTTTTCTTCAATTTCCTGAAAAACAACTGGTATTGAGATCATGTTCATTTGTTCAGCTTCTCTTATCACAAAGAATAGTAGATCAATCTCAAATGACTTGCCGGATCTATTATCATCTCTGTGGAGCCTAAATGACTCCCAGTCCGGATGCTCCTTCTGAGAATATATGTACTAGTGCACCTTATGAGACCCCGTAGCCAACAGGAAGAAACCAGAGTAGCTCTTTTCTACCCAAGCATGAGCCATCCCTTCTGAAATCTGTTTGGAAAAAGATAAATCCAAATGTATGAGAAAAAATAAGTGTTTCCTCAGGGGAGACTTTAGATTGAGACTTGAAGTTGCAGAGAACGCAGTACAGTTGCAAGCTGAAGAAATGAATGCCTTTCTTTATTCCTGCCAGGGAGTTTGGGGGCCTGTTACTGTGAATGGTAACAGTGCCATCAGAAAGTTCCCCTTTAGAATGTTCAAAAAGAAGGTTACCCAGTTTGCTGGTTTCCCTTTTTCTCCTCATCACACCAACACAAAATCATCACACCTCGAGTAACTAACATGATGTCAAGGAAGGCCAAGGGGGAAAAAAAAGCCCTAAGACTAGAAACACATGGTGCTAAAGTATTCAAAACCTGACTATGAAAACTACCAAAAGGAATCCTAGCTACTCTAAAACTTCATTTTAAATAGGAATCCTGGTGATGTAGTGGGCTACATTGGGCTGCTAATCACAAGGTCAGCAGTTTGAAACTACCAGCTGGGAGAAAGAAGGGACAATTTCTACTCCCCATGGAAAAGTTACAGTCGCCAAAGCCCCAAAGGGCAGTCCTACCCTGACCTCCACAGGTTCACTGGGAGTCACAATGGGCTCAACAGCAGTGAGTTTGAGTTTCATCTTAAATACTTTCTCAGAATGAATTTTGGGAATTGCTTTGCAGTAACTAGATAGGGGTGATGTGTATTCTTGGGAGAGCAAAGGACTGTTGTAATGTTTTCATCCCAGTCGTGGTGATAGTGTGTCTAACTCATGTGTTCCTAACTTTTATGGAGAAATTGACTTATCAAATTAGCATATTAATGTGAACCCGAGATTCACACATCGTTTGCTCTGCTTTCCTGTAACTATTTGCGTGTGTCCGTTGACAAAAAGAAAACTGGATCCCTTGCATCAACATGAAGCCTTAGGCTTGAATCTGGTACTGTTTTTTTAAGTCAGAGTACATGGCAGTCTTTTAATGATAGCAAGTCAACATAAGTTCTCATGCTCCCACTCAGACATGTAACCACACTATGCATTGTTACATACAATTTGTTTTGCCTATGTAGAGGTTATTTAGATTCAAAATACATGTGTTCTCTACAGGTAAGATAACAAATGTATCTTGAGTTATCTGCATGGACTTAATTAAATGACTCATCGCTTAAATTTTTTAAAGCAGTATCTTAATACACACTATTGAAAGAACAGAACATTAACAGCGTTGGGAAGTTCATAATGCTTTGAGTGTGTGCATTTCATTTTCACAGTTACATTAATCAAACCCTACACATTTCCTGTTGCCCCAACTAGATAAACTGGTCAGTAACTTCCAGCCACATGAAGAAAATATGATAACATGTAGTATGGTCTTAGCCCAAATGTATGTTGGCTATTTCGTAAATCTGATACATGAATGTCCTAGAGTAAATTAAGATTTCTTATACAGTAGAGCCGCTTTCAAAATGATATTACCAAGAAACCAAATTGACCATCTTTGGAAATGTCAGATATTTCTCGCTTCTCACTATTGTCATAGGACGTGTTTGGAAATGCATTTCACCAAAGCCCATGCATAACCAGATAAACGACACTGAGACTGCCCTGAGGAAATCTAGAAGCCTGTTTCCCTAGGACATGCTACAGTAGACCATTAGAAAGAAAAACATCAAACTGGAAAAATTATCTAAGCATTATCATTAATAAGCATACAATAATCAGCAAAGAAAATCTGCTTCTGCCGACTTAGCCTTTGCTTAATACGGCCCGATTTTGAAGAATGTGTGTCATTCTTTGAACACATTTGATTTTCAAAGTTGTCTTTTAGGTTGTTCGCTATTAGCAGCTTGTTCCTAATTAACTCACAGAAGACACAAGAACCACACCATGCTTGAACTTCTGTTAATAAGAGGCTGGCGGAACAAGAAGCAACAGCAGATGCAAATTTGAGGAAGTAGGTTTAGTAAACGTCTTGGGGTTTCTAGAATGATAGGGAATGACATAGCCAAAGCCGGGACTCTGAGACTCCCTCTGAATTTGAACTAATCTCACAAAGTTAAGCAGATAAATATACCACTCTTGACTGAGTCTCTCTTATCCATTCATTCATTCAGCAAATTGGACGGAAGTGCCTGGCATGATTATGTGCTATAGAAACGCAAGGAAGTTTACCACGTGGGTCGTGCTCCCAACAAGCATAATGCACATGCTTGAGACTAAAGACATGATCACATCCAACTAGTCCCAATTCAACTCAATACTAGACTCCAGCAATAATAGTACAGATGGTCTAAGGTACAGCTGTGTGCACTTGCACGTGTGCACACACCCATGTATATATATTTATCAATCTGTACAAACACTACTTATGTATACACACGATCTGTGTAATATATAATATATGTATAATGCATATAAATTCTAACCAGTGGATTTGTGTGACCTTTAAAATAGAACAATTGTATCTTGAAATAAATGCAAAGAACTGGTCTTCAATTGTTAATCTGTGGATTTGATGATTTTTTAGGTGCAAAGGATGTTTAAGTGTATAAGTTCTTAATTTAATATATTTATGTAAATGCATGCCTGAAATTTGGTTAGATTGGCTGTGTTTTGTGTCCTGTAACAGTATCAAGTGCATTAAACTTTATCTTATAACCAGAGGTGCATGTGCCCTTTTAAAATTATTTTAGGACTTTTTAATCAAGTTCTCCCTAAATGCAAAAATGAAAATTCTTGTATACTCAAACTGATCATATAAACACTAATTTTAAAATATTCTTTCTCTGAACTATTTCTTTGAAGTGGTCTTGCTTTTTTATCTTTTTCAATGGCTAATTTCAAAATTTTATTCCCCCAAATATCCGCCAATATGAAGGGCCAGTTGCATTGGGTAGATACATTAGGTGGCTACGAAGATATCGTGTCGATGTAAACTTCATTGTGACTGCAAATAATTAAAGTCTGTTCCTTTCAAGTCAGTAAGGAAGAACAGATGAAGAAGGTAGAAAAGTGCTGAGAACTGGGTGAGAGAGTACAAACGCCCAAGAAGGCAGAAGCAGGTAGCAAGGAAGGGCCATGTGAAAAGGCGGTTGCAGATACCCCAAAAGTTGGCTGAACCTGCCAATTTTGCATTCAGCTAACCTTATCAAAAGTATTGGCATAAGAGTTGCTCTATCTCGAGCATGAATTTCAAATCAGTACTTACAAGAGCAAGATGTTTTCATCAAACTACCCCTTTTTCCTGGGTAAATAACATCTCTGAATCAGTGAAGGGAAAGTGTTTTCTATTTCTCCTGTTGAATGTGTCCAGAGGTGGCTTCTCCAGCGAAAGGGAGAGAGGGAGAGTCCCTGAGCTCAGGTTGCTCCTTAGATGTTTTAGGAAAGCAACAGCATGGAAAGTGTCCTGGAGTTATTCATACGGTGAGTGGCCCCACTACTCTGACAGCTCTTTGTCTGTGCCCACTTCTGATTCCTGGATGCCCCCTCTTTGTTTCTTCTGTGTGTGGTCTCTTTCACCAGATCACAAACTTCCTGGGGGCATGCCTTCTACTTTTTGAATCCCTGATAGCCCCAGGCAACTCCTATATATGTCACACAAAAAAAACAACAAGCATGGAGGTTTCTGACTGTGGCTAACCTCTGGGTTCCCTCCTGGTTCTTTTTTCAGCTTCTCAGCTTTCCCATTGTGATTACCACCAATATTTTGTATTAAATTCTCTCTGTTCTAAACCGCCATGGCAGTTTCTGCTTGGTTTTTTAGAGCTTGATTGATACATTTATTAAGAAGAAAGACTTAGACGCAAATGAGAAGGTGGTAGAGCCAAGAAGAGGCATGATGAGTGCCCTTTAGGAGACCATAGAAAGAAATCAATAGGCTAACACTACCTTGATGGTTAATGTGCACATAGAGGAGGTCAGAAGGATCATACTTCCAAATCTGATGCAGAACCCAGAAATTTCAAGGAAAGGGAACCATGTTAAAAATATTTTTTTTAAGTGTTAAACCCAGGGACAAGGAAACAAGTGATCCAAATCGGTGGTGAGGAGGGTGTAGGATGCCTGG